CCTGTGTCTCCTGGTGAAACCTCATTCATTGCCTACGGGCACTGAGGTCATCCAGGCCAGCAGTCACCCATGGCAGGGGTGCCAGGTACTGAGAGACTCAGGGCTCCTGCTTCCCTCCTGGGACTGTGCGAAAGATCCCTCCCACGAGCTCCTGCCCTGCTCCATCCTCTCTCCAGGGGGAGGGGCCTGGGCAACCTGGCTGAGGGAGAGGAGGTCACTCCCTGTGCTCCAGCCCAACCCCGCTTCCTCCCACCCCCAGAACTCAACTTTGGGGCCATGACTCTCAACAGCACGGATGCCACCAGTGAGCGTGACTTTGTGGGTGAGTCTTGAGGAGCCAGTCCCCTGTCCTGTGCCTCACTTTTGTCCCCTAGCCGAGCTTCTCTCTAGTCTCCTCCTACCCCTGTATGATCAGGCTGGTTGTGGTGATGGCTGCACACTGCATGCAAACTTTAAATGAGTAAATTGGTTGGGGCACGGTGGTGTAATTCTAGCACTGGCCAACATGGTGAATCCCTGTCTCTACTAAGAATACAAAATTTAGCTGGGTGTGGTGGCGGGTGCCTGTAATCCCTGCTACTCAGGAAGTTGAGGCAGGAGAATCACTTGATTCCGGGAGGCCAAGGCTACAGTGAGCCAAGATTGAGCCACTGCACTCCAGCCTGGGCAACAAGAACAAAACTCCATCTCAAAAAAACTAAATAAATAAAATAAAAAATAAAATAAAATAAATAAATGAGTAAATTGTATGTGAATGGTATCTCACCAGAGGCCAGGAGGTGGCAGCCCGGAGCTTACCTGTAGGCATATGGTCTGAAACTCGGGCTCAAGCCATCTTCTGCCTTGTCCTTCCAAGTGCTGGGATTACAAATGTGAGCCACTGCACCTAGCCTGTTTTTTGTTGTTGTTTTAAATAAACCAGCTTTTATTACCTGCAGGTGTGACGTCCTCAGCCATCCTGCTGAGATGGGTCATGCACAGCAAAGCCCAGAACAGGAGCTTGGCTGGAAGGGAGAAAAGGTTTCAGACCTCCTCCCACTCCCTGTATGCCGAGGCTGGGTGGGGACAGGAGAGGCCTGGTGACTGGGAACCTTTTCTCCTCCCAGCCGAGTTCCCGTATTGGGCTTCGCTGTGCATGACCCATCTCAGCAGGATGGCCAAGGACCTCATCCTCTAGGGCACCAAGGAATTCAGCTTCGTGCAGCTCTCGGATGCCTACAGGTAAGCCCTGAACTGGGAAGCCCTGAGCTGCCACCTCCTGCCCCTCCTGGCCTCTGTATTCCCCACCCACCACGTGCAGCTTCCCTCCTCTCCGCCCCACCTCTCTGCCGGATCTGGCCAGTGCCCTGCTGGACCGGCCAAGGGCCCAGCCCCTTCAGTGTCCACACCTCTGTCCCCAGCACCGCAGCAGCCTGATGCCCCAGAAGAAAAACCCTGACAGCTTGGAGCTGATCCAGAGCAAGGTGAGGCATGTGTTTGCGCGGGTGAGCAGGGCAGGGAGAGGGGCGGGCCCTCTGTGCAGATGGGGGGTGGTGGCCAGGGGGCAAGATCCCAGGTCCAGCCCCTGTCCCTCCCTCTTCCCACAGTGTGCTGGGCTCCTCATGACCCTCAAGAAACTTCCAGCACCTACAACAAAGACTTACAGGTGTGAGGCTGGGGTAGTGGCCGGTGGAGGCCCGCTGCCTACATTCTCGGGGCTCTGGCACACACAGGCAGGGGTCCCCCAGGATTGCCATACATCCTCCCATCCGTGGCTGCCCTTGGAGCTCTCTGCCCTTCCTTTCTTGGGGTGCTGAGTGTTCTTCCCATGGAAGGCAGTGAGGATGCCTCAGTGGGGGTGGGGCTGTGGGGACCCTGGGTGCCAGGGGGCTGCTAGGCCCTCACCTGCTGCCATGTGCCTCCCAGGACAAGGAAGCTGTGTTTGATGTGTCAGATACTGTGAGTGCCGTGTTCCAGGTGGCCACTGGCGTCATCTGTATGCTGCAGGCAAGACACCACCCACCGGCCTCTCCTCCCCTAAGTCCCAGACACTGCAGTGGGCATGCCAGGAGGGTGGCCTTGGGAGGAGGTGAGGCGGGGCTGGAGGACCTGGGGCAGGGAAAGGAGAGGTGTGCTCGCTCCTGCTCCTGGGGAACAGGGAAGAGACAGAAACTGCTGCCACACAATGGAAGTAGATGAGACTCAAGGGGCCTGAGGCTCATCAACAGAACCCTTTTAAAAAAGAAAATTTATACAAAAGTCCAGTGTGGTGGCTCATGCCTGGAATCCCACACTTTGGGTGCCGAAGCAGGTGGAGCACTTGAGGCCAGGGATTTGAGACCAGCCTGGCCAACATGGTATAACCATATCTCTACTAAAAATACAAAAATTAGCCGCGCATGGTGGCCCACACCTGTAATCCCAGCTACTCAGGAGGCTGAGGCAAGAGAATTGCTTGAACCTGGGAGATGGAGGTTGCAGTGAGCCAAGATCATGCCACTGCACTCCAGCCTGGACGACAGTGAAACTCCCTCTTCAACTAGGTAAATAAATTAAGTATCTAAAAAAATTATTTTTTACAGACAAGGTCTCTCTCTGTCACCAGGCTGGAGTGCAGTGGTGCGGTCGTAGCTCACTGCAGCCTTGAACTCCTGGGTTCAAGTGATCCTCCCACTTCAGCCTCCAGAGTATCTGGGCCTACAGGCGTGCACCACCACACCTGGCTAATTGTTTTATTTTTGTAGAGACAAGGTCTCCCTATGTTGCCTAGGCTGGTCACAAACTCCTGGCCCCAAGCCATCCTTCCACCTTCATCTCCCAAAGTGCGGGGATTACAGGTATGAGCTACTTTGCCTGGCCGACTTCTTTTAAAATCAATTATTATGGGAAATTTCTGAATATAACAGCT